TCACTCTGTTTATTCGTGAAACTTTTGGTGGTAAGTTATATTTTTTTCAATAAAAATATAAAAATACTCAAATTGCATCTTATAACAAACAATTTTTTAAGATATTCAGCTGTATTTAAGGCTAGAAATCTTTCAAATACTTTTCGTACTTTTAGAGAAAAATTTACTATTATTTTTTTTCAATTTTTTCCAATTTACTGTAGCCTTTTGTTGTCTTATTAATTGAAGCACTTATTCGAAGAAATTCTTTAGAAAATTAAGTATGTGATTTACAGTTACATTACAAAACAACAGCAACTAACTGGAACCTCATTTTAAAGATTTATTATACAATAATAAATCGAAATCGTTTCCCTGCAAATTTTCGCGAAACTACTGGATAGTAAAACTTCAAATAATTCGATTAATTTACAAAAGTTTTTCATAAATTTAATTAATAAAAACTTGAAATGTCGCAAATAACTGATATCTATTTGACGGAGAAACATTCTTAAAATTATATATCAATGATATCAAACAAAAGAAATATTAATGAGTTCATTAGTGAATCTAATGAAATAGTTGCATTTAGTTCACGAATTATTATAAAGATCTAGAACTGGCAAAAAAATTAAACCATACTGCTTAACTTTCCCAGGCAGCATTTGAGACATTTTATTTATAAGAATTTTATATTTTTAATTATTATAAAACTGCCAAAATCTTAATTTTTGAAGGAAAGGACAGGTTATATAAAACAATGGGAAATGCTAGTAAAGAGTAAAATCGTCATTAAGTCTGACCCTATTCGCTATATACACGATCTCATATATCTCTTTACTCCTCGACCTTAAACCTTCAAAATTTGATATTATAAATCTCTCTAATACAAAATTTTCTAGTAAAATTTCATAAAAGTTTTCGATAAAATGCATAGAAGTTATTGAACGACAAGAACTCTGCTTTGTTTTTGATTGAAATTAATGACATAAAAACTGTTTTAAAAGATTTTTTACATTAAAATATTCAGTAATACACATCGTTAATCTATAGGACTCGAAACTCAATAAATCGACGTTAATAAAGTAGGATACACGAACTAATAACATAGCCCGTTTCATTTGAAGAAATGATTTCATTGGCTTGTATATCAGATGTATATTTGCTGTTTATGTGGGCTACAAGCCCATCGTAAATTTTAATTCTTTCGATTTTTCTAAAGATAAGGTTTTTTTCTATTCGGCCAATAGTAGATTGGCCGAATAGAAAAAAACCTTAAACACTAGTTATTAGTTTGGGAAGGTCGCAATCAATTATAATACTCTTCTCAGATTGAGAAAATATTGTGTTTCCGTTTTAATTAATTGTATTCTATTCTTTAAAAATATAATATAGGATATTTCTTCTTATTATTTTTACTTTCTCGGCTGTTATATATAACAGAAGGAAAATGTGCGATCAATCAAGAAAGTACCCCAATATTTTTGCATTTTAGGACTCAAAGAACGACGAAACGTCTAGAAATAAAAAAAAATTAAATGTTTTTATTTGAACGTATAAATGTTAGTGTGTGGGAAATACAATTTTGTTCATCCAGTTTAATTTTCTAATGGTAGCTGTATTACGTATTAAATAGGTAAATGACTCTTCAATCCAAACAAATTTTCGGTAGACTTTCTCACAGCTCTACAGGTTATAAAACTCCTTTATTGTTTTTTTACAGATGCATTTCGGGCAAGTTTAATTTTCCAGCCCCTCTTCAGTGCTACAAAACAAAATTCATATTGAATTGACACAAAACAACTTTGAGTAGAAAATGCTTACAAGACATAAGTAGCAGTGGTTTAAGTGGCACTAATCACAAAATTAATTTCATATGTCGATTAAATTAAATTAAATCGCAAATAAAAATTTGTAGAATGGAATTATTTCAGATCACAAAAGTAATTTTTACTCAAAGGAAATAATCCGAATGTTGAGAATATTCAAGTAAATTTTTAAAATATGAAAGAATTAAATGTTTTAATATCGAATAAAATTAAAAAACAATAATTGTACGAAATAATATAACACAAAAACGATTTTTGATGAAATGAAAATGAAAAAAATAATATATTTTTATTTGATCGTATAGATATTAGTGTGTGGGGAATAGAATTTTCTTCGTCCAGTTTGAAGCTACATAATTCTTTTTACTTTTGACGAATATTTCTAACATTTTTCCTGGTTATTTCTGTATTAAAAAGATACAATCCAGTAGTGTTAGACTTCATAAAGATTTTATTCATATCAGCACTTACAGTTTGTTTTCCATTAAACTCTTTTATTGTTAACATAATGCTATTTGCTATTTCATAATAAATTATAATATAAAAGTTATTTTAATTAAATATCATAACAGATGGTGCCTTCATAATTTTAATTTTTTTTCTTGAAAAGTTACGCAATTTCTTGCTTTATATTTTTAACATAAGATATAAAACTAATGTAAATATATAGGGCCAACATATAATAAGATAAGGATTTAACTATTATTATGTTATAGAACAAACAATGGAAAATACATTCAGTAGAAGAGTGAATACAATAAAAATCACGGGAGTACCTGTAAGTTTGAGTTTTTAGTTTCCTTAATAATTATTTATACAAAGTATATCTCATTTCCATGTTTAAAATATATTAAGCTTTCAACTTTTTTAAAAGTGAAGAAAATTAATAACACAATAATATTTGATGGTATCGATTTTGAATTTATAAGTTTAGTCATTCGAAGCTTGAAAAATGTTCAGTAAGTCAATTCTTTTTATTTATACATAAAAATATATGATAATATAGAATTTTTATAAGATATTTTACATAGATGTGAAATTATTGAACCTGTTGAAAAAGTATTTGGAATTAAATTAAACAACGGCACGTGGGATGGCATAATTGGAAGAATACAAAGAGAAGTATGAATAGTAATAACAGTTCGATTGAATTTGTGAAAGTAATTATAATTATCTACAATGTTTTATTTATATATATATAAGGAAGCTGATCTTGGAGTAATCTCGTTATATGCTACGTATGACAGATTTCAAGTAGTGAAATTAACAGCTCCTATTAGTATTACAAGAATTATATTTGTTGTTTCTGCACCTAAACAACTGTCAAAACTAACGACTATAATAAGACCGTTTTCCTTTGAAGTGAGTAAACATATGTTATGTTATTTACTTTTACTAAAATTAAGTTTGTTTAGAAAAAATCTTTTTATGAAATAAACGAAAATTCGTCTGATCAAAAATGTTACTAAATATATAAAAAGTAAATATATATACAATATAGAAAATGTAATTAAATATATAAAAAGTTTTTATAACAATATTTTATAACAGATGTTGCCAAAAACAATTTTGTTTAATTTGCTTAATAATATAAATGGTTTTTTGTTAAATAAAAACTTATAACAGTCGAGAAAGTTATTCAACTTTGAAAGCTTCAACTGTCAAAAATTGAATTACAGGAGTTTAGGGTAAAATACTAGTACCAGATGTATGTTGTCGAACACGCCTCCAATCTTGTCAAGAAAAGAAAAAAAAAACAGTTAGTTATGGTGATAGGGTAGAAGTCACTCCGAGATGCAGGAATGAGCTTCTGAGGTGGAGGAGGAATTCATAGTCAAGTAAACTAATTTACGAATAAACTAGAAACATTTATCAGAAATAAGAAGTAAATATAATATTTCGACTTAGTTTAGATTAATTGTATCGATAAGTACAAAATCAGTTTTAGGAAGTTAGCTTAATTCTATTTGTAAAACGAGGGGTATCTAGCGGGGATATCCGAACTGCGCGATTCACAAAATACCAGGAAATGTGTTGTCTTCTGTTGTAAATGTTGCATTAAGTTTCTGCTTTCCCACTCTTTGTTCTGCTTTCTCTATCGCTTTTTATTCTTTTCTTCTTCACCATTTCGTCTTCTTTATCTTTCACTTAGTTTCTCACTAAGTCTTTCACTTCGTATAATTTTGTCTTTCCCTTTTGTTTATTCTTCGTTTTGACCAATTATGATTTTGTTCCAGAAGTTGAACTAATTTATGATATGCATGATTGATCAATCATTAGTCTTCTTTATTTCTTGGTCATCCCGTTCGCCTTTTCCTTCGCATTTGTTAAATTTATAACAGAGAATTCTTGAAGAGGTGGGTTTTGTCTGGTATTTAACAATTGATCTTTCCACAATGAGAAAAAACAAAGAAGAGATATAAAATACATATATAGTTTAAAATACAATAAAATTTGCAACTTACTATAAAAAATAGAGTAAAACCTATATTATCCGGACCTCCATCATCCGGATTTCCTATTATCCGGATTGTTCAAAATAAACAAAAAATTTACGAATTTGCTGATTTGCACTTGTCGAATTACGACACTGTTTATGTACGTGATGGAATGCATAACTTTTTTTGTTTCAACAACGTCTCACCCAGCACAGTGGTCGTAAACTCTTAAATATATTTTACGTAGTAATAAAAATATAACTTGACATACGTATTTATAAATAATTTATATTCAAATTACATCATTTCTATGACCAAGGGCGGCGTAAGGCATGGACGACGTGGGCCACCGCCTATGCCTCGCGGTCCGAA